TCACTCAGCATATTTGTGAGACTGCAACTTCATACAGAGTGACTAGAAGGCAGCTGATTCATTCTCAGAAAGGGGACCAAAGGAGAAGTATGAGGGAGAGATGCTGAGAACTTGGTATGTGAGAGTTGGAGGAACTTGTGGCTAACCCAAGCACAGGCATTAGTCAACAATAAGATACTCGCTATTGGTATTCTAGTCACTGGCTGGGCACCCACCTTATTTTTTGAGAGAGTAATTCTCCCTGTGTGGAACTTATGGACAAGTGAGCACAAGATCTGCCCATGTCCTCAGAGGAATCATTGATGTGCATGACACCAAACCTGACACTGCTTTTCGTTTTACTTACTCTTGCTTCCTTTTTCCTTCCCTCATCTCTATTTATTTACTTGACATCTGGTTCTTTTAAAAGTGGGTTTCAGGTCTGGTTTTGGGGCCTTCATGCTTGTGTTAGCAAGCACTATACCAAGCTATTTCCCTAGGCCAGGCTCTTACTAAGGTTACTAGCCCTAGCCAGTTTTAAAATCCTTGGAATGCTCCTTCTCCCTTCAACTCCCAAGGATGTTCCTGTTTTCTTCAACTCCCCAGTGAGTGCTAGGATTATAGGCAGGAGCCACCAAGGTCAATTAAAATGTAGGTTTAAACACAGGTCTGGGGCAAGGCCCTAGGTTCTGACAGTACCCTGTGACAGCTGCCAACCTCCTTTTACATTCTGTACAGCAGGATATATATTCCAGGGAAATGGCCTTTAAAAACTAGGTAGAGTTGTTTTTGTTAGTTTGTGTTTGTTTTCTTGGTAGTTTTTCAGTCTAAACTGTCGTAAACTTTATTTTCACACATTAATAATGTTATTTTGAAATGGGAATTCGTCTTTAACCTATAATTCAACCCAAGAAAAAGCCTCTAAATTGTATTGGTGATTCTGTCAGGTATTCAGACTCTTAAAAAGTTAGAGTTAGCCTTGGGCTAAGCACTTGAGGCTATGTTTAGCAGCTATTAGAAATAATGCAGTAGGCAGGAAGGTTTTGGAAGTACTGGAGGTAAATTCAGGACATTTTGAAACATTCAAGCACTTAGAAAAAGAACCAATTGTAGAAGAGTGAGTGACCTATTTCAAGCTAGGCACAGGTGCAACTAGCCGTTCTTATACGAAAAGCCCAACCCAGACTGCCCCCACCTCAGAAACAGAAGACTTTTAGTAGCAACAGCAGCTTTATCAGGTATTGCTTTGCTTTATTAATTTAAAGTGAGTGAGTAACTGTGGTCCATCTTAGGAGTTATCTGTGAGCCATCTTTCTTACTGTGATTGCCTAATAAAATTTTGTTTTTCTTTCCTTCCTCTATTCAAAAATCTTTATGGGAGCTGGGAAGATGACACAGTGGGAAAATCACCTTGCTGTCACACCTGGTGAGCTGAAGTCAATGCCCAGACGCCACATGGTGAAAGAGGAGAATGGGCTCTTTCAAGTTTTTCTCTGATCTCCATAGGCACCGGGCGGGCCACACACATGCACACACACAAAATAACTGTTTCCAACAGTTGGTCATGGTGGTACATGCCTGTAATTCCAGCACTTGGGAGGTAGAGGCAAGAGCATTTCTGTGAGTTTGAGGCCAACCTGGTTTACACAGCACGTTCTGGACAGCCAGGCCTGCTGCACAGAGAAATACTGTTTTAAAAAGCTAAAAAAGAAAAAAAAAAGTCTCCATACTATTTGCTATAATCTGGAAAAGGCATGATTAGATTCATGAGACTTCATTTTTAGAAGAAAAAGAGACAATAAAGAATAGTAGATATAATAAGAATCATGTAATCTTATCAGTAAAATGAAGATAAGTACTATTTGGGAAATAATGAGCAATAATTTAGACAGTTATTGAGATGAGCATTAAGGCTAGAGCATTCCATTTACCTGGGTAAATTGAATAAATAATTCTTGTTATTATATAGGGACGAGATAGCAGCAAAGGAGAAAGGGCATATATGAGAATAAATCTTGTAGGTTGAAGGACTTTACAACCAGAAACCACGAGGTACAAGGGATGGGTTAAGAGTAGAAAGTAAAAATAAGAAAAGAGGTAGGTAGCATCTACATCAAGAAGAGACTGAAACCCAAACTGGGCCTTCAGATTTAAAAATAAAATAAAATGTTAGTGCCAGTATCTAGGGTTTGAAGCAGGAAATTGATTCTTTTCTATTCTTCCTGGTTAAATTATTCCAGATTACCATATTCACGTTTCTCTTTAAAGGCCTAACTCACTTGTGGAAAAGCATTCTGCAATACTTGGTGGGTTTTACTGTTCAAGAGGTCAATTCTTCACTTGGTTTCCATTTCTATCAAAGATGACCTTAGGCACTGGCTGCACCTCACCCATTTTCTTCTGATATGGCAGGATGGACAGTGTAAGGCTGGGGGTATGGCTCAGTGGTAGAGTACCTGAGCTACCAACTTGAGGTCCTGTGGTCATTTTCCAGTATTGCACAGAAGGACACTGGGAGGCCAGCAGCAGCATGGACAGATACAGTCAGATATGATGAGCTTCAGATTAATGGGGTCTCTACCTGGACTCCACTCAGGCTCTGAGATCTTCTCTCCCTTTCTTATGTTTGAGTTTGCTGTGGGTCAGTTACAAAATGGCAGCTTCACAGAGAAAAGTTGAAGCTCTTCTTATAAGGGTCAGCTATGTCTTAGGGTTCAAGAAGGTTACATCTGTGTGGAAGATGTCTTGTTGTCTAGGAGTCACACTAAATGATCTGTAGCAAGGATATTTCAAGATGCTTCAGTAAATCTTACAGCATTTCCCAGGCTGCATACTCCAGTTTCTTACCTTACCTGGTGTCTTCTCTAGTCTCAGTTTCCCCCATCTCTGCATTTCTCTGTCATGAAAATGCATAGTGTGTGCTTCTATAATTCCTTCCTTTATATGCACAGATATCTCTTGTTTTCCAACTTATCTTTTCTACTGAACTATTAATTAGTTCTTTTTTACTCCTTGCCACTTTTTGGGGGGGGCACCACTCAGCTCCCAAATAAATAATACATTGAGGCTTATTTTTATTTATAAATGCCCAGCCTTACCTTGACTTGTTTCTTGCCAGCTTTTCTAAAATTTAAATTACTCTGACTACCTTTTGCCACTAGGATTTTTCCTTCTCTTACTTCTGTGGCTGGTTCCTGATGTCTTCATCTCCTTGTTTTCTTGCTTCTTCTTCCTTCCCCCAGATTTCTCTTCCTATTTATTTTCTTTGCCTGCCAGCCCAGCCTACCTTCTCCCTTACCTTGCTATTGGCTATTCAGTTGTTTATTAAACCATCAGATACTTTAGACAAAGGATCACAGCTTCATAGAGTTAAATAGATACAACATAAAAGAATGCAGCACAACTTTGCATCATTAAAACAACTGTTCTATACCATAAACAAATGTAACACACCTTGAAATAAAATTTTCCACAACAGTAGACTTGTGATTCACCTTTTCGTACACACAGGTTATAGACCGGTGCAATGTTCACAATAATGCTGAGTAAACAAGCCTGGAATGCACAGATGAGCTCTGGAATCATCCTTGAACCATTCTTCTCATCCTAACCTTTCTGTTGAATGCCAATTTCTTATTTTTAAATTCCTTTTGGCATTTTCAATTGACTACTGTTTTTCCTCAAACTGAATTTCACACTCATTAGCCTTTGTAAAAAATGCCAACTTCTTTGTACTTTCCTAACTCATGAATTTTATAGTACCTTGTTTCAGTCTTAATGTTTTGAATTGCCATTTACTCCACCTTATTGACTTAAATCTTAGTTTAGACCATCATCTATTTCCTGAAGAAAAGAAAGACATTTTGCCACCTAGAGGGTTATTCTAAGAAGTAAAAATTTCCTCTCTTCTAAAATTCAGCTGTGTATGTCTGCAATATCAATCATTATTAATGATACCTCTTATTTATAAATCCATGTTTTAGTTCACTTTGAAGGTATTTTTCACCCTGGATGCATGTTAGACAAGTCATTCTTCTTCATACAGACTTATTCAATGTTCCATAAACTAAACGATATAGTATTTTTGTATTTTACAAATAATAATACTGAGATTTAGTTACAATAAGTTTTATATTTCAAGAAAAATGGTAGAATTGCGATTTTAACACATATATGTCTACCTAGGAAATCTGAACATTGCCTAATTATTGTATGATAACATTTTGAATTCTTGCTTCATCTGGAAGGATTTCCATGACACAGCCCAGGAATCTTCACTTCCCACTGTTGTGCTTTTGAATCTTCAATGCCATACTTCAATTATTTCCTCCTAGAGATTTCCCTCTGCTTTTAAAACTTTTGCTGAATTATCATCACTATCACTTTAATGTACAGGGATGTCTTCTATGGTGTTCCCTGAAAAATATTGTCAGTAAATAATATATAAATATGCATGTCTAGTAAATTGTTACAATATTATTAATATTACTGATGCATCAGATTGAAGACCCTTGTGCTTCAGTACCTTACAGTGTGTCTAAAGGACACCCAGATTTGAATGCTAGATTTTAGGGTTACCCCACCCTTCCTATGAAGCAGCATCAACTATGGTATAGACAATGCCATAGCATAAACAGCAAATTCCTTCGCCTCTGCTGTTGTTTCTTTAGCGTACTGGAGAAAGAAAAATTAAATACTTGTATTTTTTCTTTCTTTTATTGTGAGAATGTAAATGTGATATCATCTTCATTTCACTTTCAAGAAATCACTAGGAGTGTCTTTTAAAGACTTCCTGGCTGAAGATTCTTATGTACAGAAACTAGTACTGCAGTCCTTGCTTCATAACCGTGCCTGGAAGCCCTCCCTTTAGTCAGTTCATGAATAGCAGGGCGGGAAACGGGCGGACTTAGGACCGCGCGGAAGACAAGTTTTCTCACTACTCAGGCTCCTCCTGCTCCCGGGAACCAGCGCCTCGTCGCGTCCCGTGACGTCACCATTTCCCGGAAGAGCCGCGCAGCGCCGGGGGCGTGTCTCCAGGTCGGTCCTCGTGCGGTTACCTGAGAGACGCGCGGGCTTGGGTGCCGCGTCCGCCGCGGGGGCGAGCGCGTGTTCGGCGGAGGGAGAACCCGGGTCTGCGGCCCGTGCGGCGACATGGAGGTGGTGGAGGCCGCCGCGCAGCTGCAGACTCTCCAGTTTGGCGGCTCCGGCCAGGGGCCCGCGGCGTCGGAAGAGCGCGGGGACGCCGAGCCGGCCTGCTCGGCCGAGCCCGGGGAGCATCCGCCAGCCCCGAGCGCCGACGCCGGGAGAAGCCTGCCACAGCCCGACCGGCCGCCTCCGGGCGAGGCCTGCATCACCGGCCCGGACGCCGCGGAGCCGCCGCCAGCCCTGCAGGCCTCGGACTCATCGGACTCGGATTCGGACAGGTCGAGTGCACGCGAGCCCCGGGGCTGCCGGGTGGGACCTGGGGCCAGGGGCCTAGGTCGTAGTTGGCGTGCGTGCTGTGCGCTGATGCTCGGTGCGCACGTGCGCTCGCTCGCTAACCCTGCCTAGAGGCATCGCTTTTCCATGCTGTCTGCTCGGTTAAGAGTTCCCCACCTCCTTCCCAAACTTGATGGGCCGCAAAGTTACAAGTGGAGGTCGTAACCTGTTTATTTACCTAACATCTTAGTTTAGCATGTACTTTTGGGTTATGACATGCATTTTGTTTCAGTTCAGAATTACTACCCCCCCAAAAAAAAATAATCTTAGAATTTGATGGTCAGAAAAAGGATGGCTTGTTTCACAGTTGACTCCTTTTCCAGAAAGTGTGTGTTTTAGCCCAGTCTAGTCTCAAACTGTAGCCTGGGAAGGATGATGGTGAACTCCTGATCCTCCTGCCTCCACATCCCAAGTGCAGGTTGTACATGTACCCACCACCATTCTCCTCTCATAGTTGTTTCTGGACAGTTCGTGTGACTCCAAAGAATCTTTATAGGGAGCAAGGTTCTATAAAATTTGCTAACCAGGTTCTTGGTATTTGGGGCTCTATGCTTTACACATTTCCTCTCTGTGTCCTTGGTGGAAGAAGATCCAAAATATAGAATGTTTTCAAACTATATTGAGCACTGTCTACAGATATTTGAGTAAGCACAAGGTGAGGGGGTTCTGAGAAGTGGACAAGTTAGACCCATCATGGGGAGGTGTGACATTTTTGGGAAACCACTGATTAAGAGACAAGGGAGGATGGTTTCTAGTAGAGGGAGAGGCCTGGGGGTGGGGAGCAGCAGGGAGCTAAGGTTCCTTGACAGTTTTAAGATGGTACTCATCTTGTAATCAGAGCTCATTCGTGCTGCTGGGAAACTGATGGAGATAAAGGCAGATTAGGAGTCCTGTTTGAAGTGAAACATGGAACAACTTAGTGCTGCCCGAAGTGACATCTCACCCTTTGTGGCATAGGGTACCAGATGTTTGAAGGAATGAAGAAAGGTACATCTCTTTGCCTATGTGCTAGATTTTGTTTTTGCTGTTTTGTTTTACAAGACAAGGTTTCTCTGTGTATCCTTGGCTGTTTTGGAACTCACTCTGTAGACCAGGCTGGCCTCAAACTCAAGAGAGATCTGCCTGTCTCTGCACCCTTCTCTCCCCACAGTGCTGGGATTAAAGGCATGCACCACCACTGCCCAGTTTAAGTACTGTTTTGTTAATAGATACTGATTAAAGTTTTTGGTAATTGTGTGACTTTCTGAGGAGACATGAATAGTATCTCTTGACCTCAGATAGTGCACCAGTAACAGTCAAAAGAAATAGTTCCACCCAAGTCTAGCTTAGTGAGACAGTGCATTTGTTGGGTTTGTTCATAGAAGCAAAGGCAGCTGTCACATGGGTGATATGTCTCCTTGGTGATAAAGGCTGTATCCCCGAGCTCCTTGCTCTGACAGCAGGGCCACCAGAATTCTCTGCCCAACGGCTTACTGCTTGTATAACTTTAGGTACCAGGATTGTTTGTGGGTTTCACTTGTTCCTTGAGTCTTATAGGCCCCTTGCCTCCATTTAGGAAGCTGTGTTTCAATTGGGAGGAAATAGCTATACTACAGAAACCCAAAATGCATTTTAGGAAGTTGTGAGCAGCCTCTAGTAGCACTTTGAAAAGTGTGCTGGGGAATAGGGAGCAGGGAAGGAAAGTCATTTGGTGAATGGGTGTGACTTCAAAGGACGTAGTATTTTTGTTGATACTTTAATGAAGAATTCATGTTGTCTAGACTGAGGTATTTCAGACAGATAAAGTAGCGTAGTTTCACAGTAGTGAATATGAGGATGGAGTTAGGCTCTGTGGGGAGTGGGAGGTTACTAGAAACCTGATTTCAAGGCAGTGTAAGACTGACATATTAAAGAGCATGTATTTTTATCTTGTCCACGGTAAAGATATTTTTTGGGGGGGAAATTAGCACTTTTCTGTGTGTTTGAGTATTTTATTAGTGAAAAATACAAACCCATACACCGTCTTGATTTAACAACTATTAGTATTTTGTTAAATGGTATTGGACCATTTAAAACTAATTTGCTGCAGACATCATGCCATTTAAATATATCAGCACAGCATTCTTTTTATAATTGAAAATAATTTTTTTCACATAACATATCCTGAATGTAATTCTCCACATTATGATAAATCTCTAGGGGGACCTTGCTGGAGTCCATGGCAGGCAAGGGTGACTGAGCCAGAAGGACAAACATGCCACGCAGTCAGAGCTTATATGAGAAGTTTTGTTAGAAAGGGAAGGGAGGAAAGAAAGAGAAGAGAGGTAAAGAAACACAGGAGACAAGAGGGAGACAGGAAAAGTCCTGTCTGCCCTAGGGGAACAGCTGGAAAGAGCAGGAAAGAGGAGTGGGAAAGAGAGCGTTAGTGGGTGGGGTCTTTCTTTTAAAGGGGTCCTTTACCTGCATATGGACTATGCACCACAGAACCCTGGGCTCCCTGAGTGCATTCTGCCAGGTGACAGGGACAGACCAGCATAATACCTGAATTCTTACACCCCTCCCTCATCTCTTACCAGTTCTTCCTCCCTGGTCCAAGTTCACACTTTTTTCTCTGTCTGTAGAAAATAAACAGGCTAATACAGAGTATTCTCTCCAGGGTCTCAGTCAAGAGTGACTTCAGACTTTATAATGTAGCTAAGGATGACCTTGAAGCAGCAGAGTTGAGGCTTCAAGCATGTACCACAGTGCTTGACTTCATTTATATAAACACAGCACTGTTACCAAAATCATAAGTGCTGTTTTATAATAATTATTCTGATCTCTTTTTCAATCTTTTTTTTTTTTTCCTTAAAGCAAGAGCAGGAGCTCATTTGGATGAAAGGTCATGAGAAGGTCAAAGTAACATCAGTGGATAAATAGTTGTGGGGAGAGGCTGTTCTTTTGGTATTGAAAAGCTATTACAGAAAAGGTGAGAAATGATGTCTTGAAATGGTGAGGAAGATTAGGAAGTGTCATAGAGTTAGTTGGGAGATTATACTTTGATAATTGACCTAGGATAAAGTAGTATTCAAATGATACCAGGGTTTCACCCACTATGACTGGATTGAAGACTGAGTAGTGAAATAAAAATAGATGTTCAGGGAAAGACATGGAATCTTCTTTTATTTTTTCTTCCCTTGATTTTAACTTGTTAGAAATATGATGTTCCTAGGCATTAGGACTCTAGAATAGTTAATGTTAGGGCTGAATATGGAAGCATTTATTAGCAAGTGGATTATGATTGAGATCTTTGGAATGAATGTTACATGCCTAAAAAGTAGAGACAAGGTCTCTATGGGTAAAGCACTTAAAAATATAGGACATAATGTGCCATCCATTGGTGGTACACACCTTTATAAGCCCAGCACTTGGGAAGCCTCAGAGACTGGCAGATCTCTGTGAGTTCAAGGCCAACCTGGTCTACAAAGCTACACAGAAAACCCTGATTCTTAAAAACAAGATCTACATTGGCTAAAAATATAGCATATAATATGGGCCAAAGTAAGTGGTTGAGTCAAGAACCAAAGCAGTATTCAGAGTTAAATGGTCAGCATGGCAACTTTGAAGAATTCCTAAGGTGATGACTGAGAATGAACTCCTTATTGCATTAAATGGGTGACTCCAACAGGTGCTTTGCATAGAGTTAATGTCTGCTTAATTGTAGTCATAGAGATTTATAACGTGTTATACTGTTAGCCCAGAGAGGGTCCAGGTTTTATGTGTCTGTAATAGTATATACTCAATGTCAAAAATGGCCTCTCCCCACAGTTATTCTTGCACTGGATTTTAAAATGGACAGGAAAAGCCCAGGGTGGAGGCACACACCTTTAATCCCAGGGAGGCAGAGGCAGGAGGCTCTCTGATTCAAGATCAGACTGCCACAAAAAGAAACCTTGTCTCAAAAGAAAAAAAAAAAAAAAACACCAAAGTACTCCACCACCGAAGTCATTTTGAAATGTTGAATTTTGATTTAGACAAGCAATAGAAGGAAGTAAATTGTTTCCTACTTGAAACAAGATTTTATTTTAATTATGATAGTACTTGACCAATTTTTCACCTTTGCCTCTGCAGTGAGACAGATTCAGATAGTTCAAGCTCCTCCTCTTCGTCGTCCTCATCATCTTCCTCCTGTGTGTCACTTCCTCCAGTGCTGTCAGATGGAGATGAAGATACACAAGTTGAGAAAGAAAATAAGAATTTTCCTCTTAAAACAAAAGATGAGTTGCTTCTTAATGTAAGTGCTTGGGTTTGTTACTTATATTGTGTATTATTTATATTGATTGCTCTGTATATCAATCTTCTCAGCTTTTTTGCATGTACCTCCATTGTTCTTTGACATTCTTTTATAAAGAGTCATGCAGAAAGTGTCTGTGGTGGCTTCTAACCCTGACACTTGGTACTTAACTATCAATCTTGAAGAGGCATTGCCTTCACTTTGGTGACTGATAACTTCTTCAAGTATTTTTTTTTTTTAAACACACCAACTATAGTTTCCCTTCCTTCCTCTCCTCTTGTTCCCTCCTCTATCTTTCTACCTTGACACCATCTACTCCTGAGAAAAGTGTAAGTCCTCCCATGGAAATCAACAAAGCTTGGCAAATCAAGTTTAGCCCCCCACTTGCCATAGAGGCTGAGTGAGGTCTTTCCTTATAGGGAGTAGATTCCAAAAACCAAAAAGCCATCTCATGTGCCAGGGAGAGATACTGGTCTCACTGCCAGGGGCCTCACAAATAGACCAAGCTACACAGGTCAGTCCAATGCAGGCTCTCTAGTGTCAGTCCACAGTCTGTGACCTCCCACAAGAATGGGTCTGCTATCTCTGTAGGTTTCCCTGTCATGATCTTGACTCCCACCCCTTGCTCATATAATCCTTCCTCCCTCTTTTCATTAGTGCTCCTTGAGCTCTGCCCAGTGCTTGGCTATGGATCTGTCTCTACTTCTGTCAGTTACTGGTTGAAGGTTCTATGATGACAATTAGGGTTGTCACCAATCTGATTACAGGAGAAGGCCAGTTTAGGCACCCTCTCCATATTGCTAAGAGTCTTAGCTAGCTGGGATCATCCTTGTTGATTTATGGGAATTTCTCTAGCACCAAGTTTCTCCCTAACCCCATAATGCCCCCATCCTATCAAGATAACTCTTTTATTGTCCTCCCTCTTCTTCCCTCCCCCAACTCGGCCATCCTGATAACCTCATGTTTGAACCCTCATTACTCCCCCCACACACACACACCTGTCTATATGGCCCCTCTGCCTCCATACCATATGCTTTTGTCTTTATGGGTCTGGGTTACTGCACGCAGGATGATTTTTTTATTCATTTGCCTGCATATTTCACAATGTCATTGGTTTTTATTGTTGAGTGATACTCCATTGTGTAAATGTACCACATTTTCTTTATTCTTTGGTTGAGGGCATCTTGGTTGTTTCCAGCATCTGGCAGTTACAAATAATGCTTCTGTCAACATTGTTGAGCAAGTATCCTTGTGGTATAATTGAGCATCTTTTGGTTATATGCCCAAGCATAGTATCACTGGGTCTCCAGATAGATGGATTCCCACTTTTTCACCATACTAATTTTTAAAGTGGCTATACAAGTTTGTACTCCCACCATCAGTGGAGGAACGTTTCCCTTACTCCATATCCTCTCCAACATAAGCTGTCATCAGTGTCTTTGATCTTAGCCATTCTGACAGATATAAAATGGTATCTCAAGAGTCATTTTGATTTGTGTTTGCCTGATGACCAAGGGTGTTAATTCCTTAAATGTCTTTTGGCCATCTCTGTTAAAATCTGTACCCCATTTTTTAATTGGATTATTTGGTAGTTTGATGTCTTGATTCTTGAATTCTTCATATGGTTTGGAGATCAGCCTCTGTCAGATATGGGATTAGCGAAGATCTTTTCCCATTTTGTGGGCAGCCATTTTGTCTTACTGACTGTGTCTTTTGCTATACAGAAACTTCTCAGTTTCAGGAGGTCTCTTTTATTGTCAGTCTCAGTGTCTGTGCAATTGCTGTTATATTCAGGAAGTAGTCTCCTGTGCCAATGCATTCAAGGCTACTTCCCACTTTCTTTTCTGTAGTTTCATTGTAACTGGATTTATTTATGTTGAGGTCTTGAGCCACTTGGACTTGAGTTTTGTGCATGGCCATAGATATGGGTCTATTTGAATTCTTCTACATGTTGTCAACCATTTATGCCACTACCATTTGCTGAAGATGCTTCTTTCTTCCCCATTTTATAATTTTAGCTTCTTTGTCAAAAATCGGGTATTCAGAGATGTGTGGATTTATGTCAAGGTCTTCAATTTTATTCCATTGGTTCACCCATCTGTTTTTATGCCAAATACCAAGCTTTTTCGTTACTATAGCTCTGTAGTAGAGTTTGAAGTCAGGGTTGGTGATGCCTCCAGAAGTTCCTTTATTGTACAGGGTTGTTTTCGCTATCCTGAGTTTCTTGTTTTTCCATATGAAGTTGAGAATTGTTCTTTTGACATCTGTGAAGAATTGTCTTGGGATTTTGATGAGAATTGCATTGAATCTATAGATTGCTTTGGTAAGAGTGCCAATTTTACTGTTAATCCTACCTATCCTGTAGCATGGAAGATCTTCCATTTTCTGAACATTGGGTTCAGGTCTTGCTGTTGTAGAACCACTAGGTTCTGTTTTTGCCATATTGCTCTTTTATGTTGTTGAATGTATTCTTACAATGCCATTTACCCATCTGTACAGTTGTTGATTGTTGCGTTGTTTTTGGTGGATGGTTTGTTGTTGTTTTTGTTGTTCCTTCATTGTCTTTTGGTCTGAATGGCCAAGGGTTTTGGTTAATTATCTGGTTGTCAGATCGAGTAGGGTTGTCTCAGCTAAAGTTTGTGTGGGTTTGGGTGCCTAGATCCAGTGTATGATCCCGTTCTTCTGGCTGGTGTGGGCATTACTTGTTCCTATGGGGTCTGTTCTTCCAACTGGTGTGGATGGTGCTGTGCTGATAGGATGTGCCTCTGTTGCTGTAGAGGGCTGTTGAAGGGGAGGCTGCTCTTCTGGTTGATTGGGATGGTGCTCGTGCCTTTAGGGGCTGCTGATCTTGATGGGGATGGTTGGCTGAGGGGGGATGGTGGGTTTGGTGGGTTTGGGCGGTGGAGTGGCTCTTGGCACATTACAGTGTCCAATGGGTGGCCACAGTGGTGGAGCAGCCTGCCTCCAGGGCTGGCAATAAGCTGCTGGGTGGCTTCTGGGGATGGGATGGGAGGGGGAGGGCCAAGGGATGTGCTCTGGAGCCTAGGGCCTAGGGATTGGGGCAGTTCAGCTGGGAGACCAGTTACTCACCTTTTCTTCCAATTGGTGCAGGTGGTGCTTGTACCTCTAGGGGTGCCAGAGGGCTGGGAGGGATGTGTTCTGTGGGTTTGGGTGCTGGTGTGTGTCTTGTTGGTTACTGAGTGGCCACAGTGGCGGTGCAGTCTGCCTATAGGGCAGCCTGCTCACTGGCTGCTAGGGGTGACTGTTTTCAAGTCTTTAGAAGATTTGTTTAGCATACATGAAAAACCTGCCCTGGGTTGATTCCCAGCACTACCGAAACACGAGGAAATTACTTTTTGAAGTTTCATGGCCTTCTGTCCTTTTGTTTTCTTCCATAGTAATTGAGACCTTTTTAATTGATTGCTTTTTCAGAAGTAGAATGCAAAATTCACTGGCTTTAATGGGTTTTAAGTTTTTTAGGTTACCTAATCACTTGAAACTTTGCATTATTTTAAAAATCCTTTGAGATTATGAGGGCCAGTTATGTTTAAACCACCACATTGGTCATCTTTCAGAAGTTCTAATGAGAACCAACAAGTAGGAGAGGAGATCATGATATTTTAGAGATTTACCTATATAGTCTTCTTTGCCTTATTGAGTATGGATTTCTTATCATTGGGAGTCCTTTGACATTTAATGCAAAACCTTACTGTATTGTGGTGGGGAGGGGATGTGTTTTTCTAAATATAATAATCAGACATTCATGAGAAATCAGGTAGGGTCTTTGGGTAGGCAAGTCAGGAGCCATATTTGAGGACTGAGTTCATAACTGATTTTTGTGTCTCCCTAGTCCTCAGTGAAGTAGTTGACTCTGGTGGTTGGTTCATAGTTAGCAGTAGTGATTACAGAATAAATTTGTAAATAGGTGTCTTCATTTGTTCTTTTAAGAAATTGTAACCCATCTAAAGTATATGCCAGGTACTTTAAACAGAACCCATCATGTTTCTGCTTTCATATTTCTAATAAAAGACAGTAAATAGAACAAGACAAATTGAATTGCCAGGAGTGCTTTTGAAGTGTGTGTGTTTGGCTTAAGTCTGAACTCAAAACCAAGACTCATGTCTTTTTTGTCCTATTTCTGAGGGATATTTTGGGAAAGACAGAGGAGGTAATTACAGTTTATTTTATGTTCATTGGTGTTTTGCCTGCATGAATATCTGTGAGGGTGTCAGAAGCCCTGGGACTTGAGTTACAGACAGGTGTGAGCTGCCATGTGAATGCTGGGAATTGAATTTGAGTCCTCTGGAAGAGCAGCCAGTGCTCTTAACTGCTGAGCCATCTCTCCAGCCCCTATTTATTTAGGAGCTTGAGAGAGAGTTTCTCTGCTTAGCTTTAGTTGTCCTGGAACTCATTATGTGGACCAAGCTGATCTTGAACTAACATGGATCTTCCTACCTCTGCCTCTCTAGTGCTGGAATCAAAGGTACACTCCGTCACACCCAGCAGTTTTTTTAAATTTTAAAGTTAATGGAATTCTTGATTAACTTGTTTTTACATTAACAGTTTTAGGTTATCAACACTACCTCCTTGTTGGTAGAGGTAATAAAAACATTGTAATTTCTCTAGTTTGCCCTAAATCTCTAACTTTGGAAGGATATGCTATAACTTTCTCCAAGGATTCATTAAGTTCAAGACACGAAAGTAACTTGGAAAAGATGAAAAGAGAGTAAGTCACTTGGTCCTGAATTACAAGTATAGTATGACCTCAGAGTCCTTCCTGCTCTGTCTCTGTGTTGCTCTGGAGAGATGCCACTTTGGCCAACGATATGCATTTTTTATGAGGATTTAACCTGTAACCTATATCTTATTGCACAGCCTTGAACAAATGATGGACCCAGTGGAATGCATATTGAGATTGTTGGGACACAAGCCTCATGGTCATTCCTGTTTGTGTGGGCAAGTCTGTAGGAGGTGAGAGTGTAGGAAAGTGAAAGCTTGGA